CCAACTCCCTTGCGCCACGCTTGCCGGCTGGTGCAGGATCGCCGGACTCGGATCTGTCTCTTTTCTGTCCTTCGGGCGGGTCACTGTAGTTCCTTACTAGCTCACTCACCGATTGTCGCTCGCTAGTAGTGTCACTGTGCACTAGTGCGGATGTGTCTCTGGCACCACCATCCCGAGACGAGGCCTGCCTCGGCCTGGCCTCCGCGCGGTCACTCATCACGGGCGTACGGTAGCACTCGTGCAAGAGAAAACGACGCTGCCGTCGCAGGCTCCGCGTTCACTGGAGGACTCACACGTTCATAAAGCTAGTGTGAGCCCCAAAAAAGTCACCAGTTTCGCGCGCGGTCACTCGTTGTGGTCGGACACGCACTCACTCGCCACGCGGGCGGTGCGGGCTGGAGCGGAGCGTAGCACGACCGACCGCGCCGGCGGCAACCAGCTGACTGGGACCTGGTTTAAATGCTTCAAGACATCATCTCTGATCAAAACTAACACGATATTCGTGATCAGCACCCCGGAAAACCACATAACAGCCACACTTTACGACTTTCTAACAGGTCCCGATTTTCCCGGTTTTCGGGTCATTGACCTGACCTGGAAGGTCATCCGATGACCTAGGACCTTAAAATTTGGTATCATCGGCTTCCTCTCGTAACGGGCAACACGCTCTTTTTTTCCGCGAAGCTCTAGCTCGATCAGGGGCCAAACGCGAGGGGGGGGGGGTCGTACCCCCCCTTGTGCCGTCAAAGGACGCAAAATGGCCTGTGCCGGCGAGGGTTAAGTCAATGGGAGAAAATTGAAAAGCGTCTCTTTTGCACGAATGCCATTCTAGACACTCTCAAACATCGGGATGCAGGTAAAATTGAAACACTTAAACGGAAAATGGCACCTGTGACCCCTCGTTATGTCTCCGAGTTCATCTCTGGTCACGAATAGTATTTAACAGTTTTTCACTAATAACTTCTGATAGAGGCATGCTAGAGCGATGAAAACGCCTTAGATGTGTTCAGCTCGATGATGCGGATCGACTGATATGCAACATGACCTTTTCCGGTCAGGTCATGACCTTGACCTGAGGTCAAATTTTCAAGCTTGACCTTTCAAGGTCAAATTACTTTTCATTCGAAGCATCTCGACGAGAACACGATCCTGGCAAAAGTAATGTCGTGGCTTTTTTTGAGTGAAAAGTTATTGTCGAAAAAACACTTTTCGTAAAAACGGCTACTTTTGGAGTTTTTGCCCCCTGGAGGCTAAACCGTTGACCTGAGGTCAAATCTGAGGGCATGCTGGCGAAAGGGCGTTAAAAGAGCTATCGAATGCGCTTTTGCGCGGCGCTGTTGCTCTATCGGTTCCCGAGTTAGCCGTTGCAGTTTCTAAAATGTTGGAATAGCCAACATTTTACCTTTGGTGACCTTATGTGACCTGACCTTTGACCTGATAAAAAAGTGACAGAAGTTCTTATTTTGGACATTCTTTCGATTGCCGCTTACCGCGTGTCGTTACATGGCCCAGGAGCCGAGTTAGAGGGGGGGGGGGGTGCTCAGACCCCCCCCCCCGGCCCGGCGAGGAAGTCTCGGAGCACCGTCCCGGCGCAGGTTAATAGGGTTGGGACCTATCTGCATGCTCTGTATGTTTTGGTAAAATAAAAAAGCTCAGAATTTTTAATGATTTAATTTAAAATCACTTTGTTAAAAAAAATGCCTAGTTAGTTCAGAAATTAATTATTTGTGGCTGAAAACGACTTGCTTCTGATTGGTCGGGCTAATCATGACGTCACATGTAGGTATATAACTGTCTGTATATTTGGCGCAGTTGAGACATACATTTTCTATGTATTTTCCTATGGTAAATCGGAGTGATTGGTCGTGTTTTCAGTGTCTCTTTATTTTGCGCTGGTATTGCGTGGCTAAGAAGTTTTATCAAGAATGGCATATACTAAAATGTTCCTTTAATAATGGAGCTTCAATATCTGTGAGTTTTATTGGCAAGCGAAAACTGATTTCGCTGTTATTTTATCTGGAAATAACTCATTTTTTTAGGTCAATATTCAAAATATTTTACGGGAACAAGTTGGCACTTTTCTTGATTTTTGCACTCAAATCGCGTGCGATTCAACTGTATTGGAACTTGCAAAGAAGCTTGGTGATTAATTAACTGTGTTGTTATGGCACTGTTTGCGTAGCATGGATAATGAAACTCTGCTACATAGCAATGCCTCAAGTAATACGCAGGAGGGACAGAATTCAGAGTCCGATCGAGAAGAATCGGTGCAAATGCTACAAAGACCAGGCAGCTCTGATACAATAGCTAGTCGTCTCACTACTCTCACTCCATTAGACCAGCTGATTCCTGACAGCACCGACTCGGATGCAAAGATGGAGCTCATCTTCCAAGCCAGAAACCAGTTCTTTGATGGAAGATGTGATGCTGCCTCTGTCTCTGCTTTGTTGGCCACTTTGGACGGGGCGGAGCTCCGCTCCTTGCGTGAGCGGTTATTCGTCTGTCATCCAGAAATAGTTCCTTCGTTTGCTGGCCGTTTCCTGATTAGGTGCAATACGGGGAGCTGTAATCAGGGAAGTAACTTTCCATATGAAAGGGGTGCAGGTGCACCCCCGTCCCCCATCCACTAGAAGTGCACCCCCATAGGCTAAGCGGCGCCCCACACGCCGCCCCACACGATTAGCTCTAGAGCAGATGGCGAGGGTGATTTCTCGGCTACATTCCATCTCGGCGTCGTGATGCTTGTGGGCTTGGAAAGCGTCCAGTCGTATGTAGGGTAGTGTAGGGGTAGGGTTGAGTTCAATAAGGTCCTTACATTTGAAAGGTTTGAACAACCCGCAATCAGCACAACATACCACAAGTTAAATAAAAAACTACCAAACTCCGCCCAACTAATATTAATAAACATTACAGCCAAACTAATGGCCTAAATAAAAATATATCTCAAATCCTAACAGTTATCGCGGGTGATGGCGCCATGAGTTGCTATTATCCAAAACAGATGCAAATAAACATGTTTGTATGTCCTATGCATGTTTGTTTTAAAAACGTTGCAGCGGCGCTGGGAACTGCAGTCTTAGATCTGGGTATGTTTGGCATCTGCAACTCTTCATATACACATTAACCCTATTTCGGACGGGGAGACCTTTCAGGATTTTCTTGTACAATTGCCAAACGCCGCGAGACATTCAGCTCATATTTGGTGACTTTTCCTAAATGCTCATTGCGCACATCTCAGCAAAAAAAAAAAAAAAAATGCCGGGTCAGGTCAGGTCAGGTAACCAGAGCGGGTTTGTTGACCCCACCTCAGAAAAGTTTGCAAACACGTCAGAGCTTGAGTTTTTCACGAAGTTATTTCCTCTCATCAAGTCTTCAAAACAGTACCTGCAGTATGTGTCGTTTGTATATCTCAGAATTTTTGATCTGTGACCTGAGGTTAGGTCAGAGTCGTGACCTTTACATTGCAAGCCTATGGAAAAGTATTGAAATGCGACCTGCACCTCGAATAAACGAGTCAAAACCACCCAATTCTTTAAGAATTATGACTAATTATCTTATCTGTAATGATCCAGGTGCCATTTGCTGACAGGGACACCGGAGAGGGTTATCTGAGCCGAGATCATGTGAGGTGATATCTACCATACATCAATGCTCACAATACTTACAATATTGACAATGCTTTTGCTTACAACACTGACAATACTTATGATGAGACCAGCAAGCACTCTGCCGTTACAGTTCTAACTTCTGTTTCGAAAAACGACGTTACACACATTCGCTGCCAGCATAACATGTATTGTTTGACAGTAACAAAATACAATTGACATCTGAACCCCAAACGGACTGCCATCCACTCAAATTTTATAACCCTGACCGGTCAGGGGGCGAATGGAGGTCATTTCCTGGGCATTACACTCAGCCCTTGCACAAAATATCTCACCTCACAGTGATCATTACAACAATAGCACCGACTTGATAGTGGATTTCAAAGTACTTGCATCAGCTCTTCCTGCTATTGCAGACGATCATCTCCTCAGGGTAATGTTGTTCGGGACATGAACGAAGATCGTTTTCGGAGTTTCATAAGTGCTACTGCAACAGCCTGGCACAAAACAGGACTTGTACGCTCTTCTCTGCACTTTGCCCTTCAGTATATCACAAAAGAATTGTTTAGAATCCATCTTACGCTTCTTTCACAGTCTCCCTTGCCACCGTAGGGCGTAGATAGATTGCTGTTGCTGGTAAGTTAAGGCACGGTAGATAGAAATTACCTCGGTTCTCAACGCCTTAAGTTATTTTTTATAAAAAAAAGAACAAATAAATGATCAATAAGATGACAGGAATGTAAACATTTTAATCGTAAAGTAGTCCAAATATTGGAATGAGCTTTTGCTTTTCAGCATCCTCCGATTCATCATCTTTATCATTTGAAAATTCAAGGTACATAAAATGTTTATCACGCGCTCATGTTAAGTGGGAATATAGTACACGGCAGACACATCAATTTTTGACACTGAACATTTCATCCGTAAATGTTTTAGCATAATTTAAAGTTAAAAACAGCGCGAATGGCAGAGTGAAGCAAACAACATCTTTCACCCATTGATATAACATGTAATCTGTGGTGCGCCAGATGCGCCATTAGTTGTCAACCGCAGAAGGTGACATGTGACGTAACAGCATCAAGAGCATCTTTTTTCAAGAACTTTTCAAAACAAGTTTCCTATCTTTCTTCCCCCATTTCTCTCAGCTTATTGATTTTATGAGGCAATGGTATGCACCATAAATTCTGTGAAAATAGTTTGATCATTTTCATGCATTCTTAAAAAATCGAGTTCCCAACCCCATTGTACTGTTACAAGTGGTGCCGGTCCAACAGCGCAGGATGCCTTCATCATCGTTATTATTGTAAACTATCTAGCATCTGTGTGTTGTTTTATTTAGGTTATTTCGATGATTATTAATGATCGGTCACACGCATTATGTTCTCCACGTTTCAGCTTCTTTTGGAGGTATACTACCCCCGAGTATGGTAATTGTTATACCTTCAACACCGATATTGTATCAACAGCCGACTTCCAGGCCGGTACACGGAGCACAAGCTTCACGGGCGACAAACATGGTAAGAAAAAACAATGTGTCGTGCAATGCTTTTCAAATATGTACTGCAGTTAATATAATTATTTATAATTGCAGTTAGTATAATTCTGGCGTCTCGGAGACTGCTAAGCGTGCGTCCATCCTTGGTGATCAGGTCTGGTGATGATCCTGAACACGGTGCCGGACCGGTACCCCCCGGCACACACGGCCGCCTGGGGCGCGCGCGTGGTGATCCACCCCAGCGACCAGCTGCCGGCGGTGGGGTCGGCCGGTCTCAGCCTGCCGCCACAGACCACCACCGCCTTGGCTCTCCGACAGGTGAGGCAGTGAGGCAGAGCACCACCCCCTGGCCCTCCGGTAGGTGAGGCAGTGAGGTCCGGCCACCACCCCCTGGCCCTCGGGTAGGTGAGGCAGTGAGATCCGGCCACCACCCCTGGCCCTCCGACAGGTGAGGCAGTGAGGGGTGGGGTCCGGCCGGACTGCGCAAATCCGCCAACGGCCTTCACTGCCCCGCACGGAGACTATAGTCCACTGAATACACGGCCTGCTACAAACGGTCCGTGTTTTCCAATTTTCCATGGAGCTTGCGTACCATTATGACTCTGCCTATCCGTAGTCTTTGTCTGTTGGCAATATTATAAGAAAAGGGCAATAACTAACAAAACACAAAAATGTGGTACGTCAGAAGCTGCCATCACCTCTCTACAGGCAAATGAACAGCGACTGCGAAGTCCGTACTCCGCCAATTGCATCTCCGAGTGGAATGAGACCGACATTTACCCGAAGCTTCAGCGAGACAACGAAGCTTTGGCGGTAAACCGAATAGCCTATTCCAAAGAGGTAAGACATTTGTAACCGAAGGTTTGTTGTCAATAGTTAAAACACTATTCTTTAGAATTGTGTTTTTCTATTGAAAAACAAATCTGAGTTCTCTGACAATTTGGCAAAAGTAGGCTGTACTCATCAAGTATACGTATAGGTCTTTTTAGTGTAGGCATCATGATTAATCTGCCTGATGAATCGTGGGCATTGACTACTCAATATACAGTAATACAGTACTAGTAGCACAACATACATACATATACAGTTATCATTTACAGTATTGTTACCATACAGCATTGATATCATTTATCATATACGGTATACACTATACAGTAACACATTAATAGTAATATGGTAGTCTATATCGTGGGTTTTAATAAGTAGGGCGAATAGCTAAAAAGTATATTATACAATGGAATCGCCTTTTCAGGTCTGTGAACTGTTGTGTTCCCAAAGTCAGTTCATGCGACTATGCGGCTGCACACACCCCCTGCTTCCGACGTATTTCGGTAACCGGACAGAGTCGGAGCAGCCACTGCCACATTTGCCACCCTGCCAGATGTTCACCAATGGTAAACAGCCAGTAATCACTGTTTGGTATAAGGAGTAACATTCAAAAACATAAGGCACATATACTACATAAGGTAACATAAGGCAGCATAAGGTGACATTCGCTGACCGGGAATACATGAGCAGAGTAAATGCGTATTACAAACGGATTACAATGCTGCGTCAATTGCAGAAAATCCGCGTGGTGCGCACTTAGCTACTCATGTATTCGAGCCAGCGTCACCTTCGCCATCCGTATATGCCGGATGTTTACCAATGGAAACAGTCACTAACTCATGGATAACATTCACTGCCAGAGTTATTTTTCGTTTGTTTACAACTTTGTGAAAAGGGACGGGTTTATAAAAATATCTTATTTATATTCTTTGGTATCAATATAGCTACGTAAACAGTGTACCGACTCCTCTGAGTCTCTAGTAGATTCCGGTCCCCTTTTGATGGGTAAAATTGCACTTTAAAAAAGGCATCGTTCTCTTCAATACGTTTAGGTGACGTATTTACCTGATGTACAGTAGGTCTACAAAGAAGTCCCCGCCGTATGCGGGTCACCAGTGGGCAGTTAGCGCCTGAGCGCTACTCGGGCGCCACTTGCCCGCATACGGATAGGACTTATTTTGCAGACCTACTGTAAGGTACATCGAGTCACTTTCTTGATAACGCAACTGATTTTATGTTTCTTTTTTAAATGAATCAACAGGTAACCATTCCGAATGTGTTGATGATGTTCAAGATCAACTGAACCGACAAGAACTGACGTGCAAATGTCCGTTGGCGTGCCAGGATACTTCCTACGACATTCTGTCCTCTTCCGCACGTTGGCCACAAAACTTGGTGAGTATTATTCCAACAGTAATTAGGTTCTAACGAAGACCTACTGAAGAAAATGTGTATTGTGGCATAAGAATCTACCATCCTTTGTTCCACATGGACGATGGTTTAACTTATGTGTTTTAGATAAGAACGTCAAGAAAAGCGATAGGTACTATCAGGACAGCTTCCCAAGTCAGCAAGAAGAAAAATCGGCAAAACATCGACAAATAAGCACAACACCAGCGTGCTAGTAGAAAGGATAGTTTGTTTCGGGCATGGAAGCAGTGCTGTTCGTCCTGCTGAGCAGAGCTACCGTAGTGGACGCGGGACGGCAAGGACTCCTTAACCTTCCAGGCGGTGGGGGGGGGGGGATTTTTTGTCACCCTCCCTTTAGTTTTTTCGATATATCTACAGAACCGCTGCGCCGATCATCACCAAACTTTCAGTTCCCTCCCGAGAATAGCTTTTACACATCGTGAATAAAATTGTTTCCGAAAGCTATGATAGGTTGGCGGCTAATGACGTCGGAGTGACGCCATTTCTGCCATTTTCCACAAAAAAAGTTTCGCGGGAAGACCTGCTAGGCCTACAGATTTAGAGATACAGAAAAAAACGTTTTGACATTAAAGGAGTAGAAAAAACAGGGATATAAAACTGCTATCTCGGTTTTTTGAAATTGTTGGATTTTGACCCCCAAAAATAAAACAAAATAATTTTCTGAATATAATAACCAAAAAATCCCAAAAGTTTTTTGATATTCGTAAAAACCGGGATATATGTGATGTTCCCTACCGCCTTCCACCAACATACCAAATTTGAAATCGATACCTTTTTTGGCCAAGTTATAGCGAAAAAAACTGTTCAAAATTGATGACGTCAAATTTTTAAACTCATTTTTTAGCAATTCTAGACCACTTAGCGCAAAATAAAAATTATTAGACCATTAGACTCGCCCTGACGAGCTGCATCGAATCAATACCCATTTTGTGCAAAACTATCAACTTTGAAATTTGACCTTTTTTGACCTGGCATTGCCCGGCATGACCTCCACCAAAAAATGGCCTTAACAGTACCTGATGGTCTTATAACCAGCACCATTGAGCTGGAAGACCCTTGGTGACCTGACCTGTGACCTGACCTTGTGTCATCAGGGACCTTCAATAGCAACATATGTACTAGGCAACTTACGCCCTATCGCTGATTTTCGACAAAATGCGTTTTACTCGATGTTATAGCGCATTCCCTAGAAGACCCGTGAGCGGCGAAACATTTTATCTTTTACCTCACCTGTGACGTCATCGGTGACACCAAAGTCAATGAAATTTGGTTTCCCTCAACAAATTTGACAGGGCTATCGAACACCGTTTGAATTTTCCGGATCCGCCCAGTATAGTTTCAGAGATACGGGGGGGGGGGCAAAAAATGCCCCCCCCCCCCTCCACCGCGCGGAAAGTGGCCGGGAGGCCCACCACCTACCGGGTTAAACCACGTAACGCCGTTGTTATCGTTCAGTCCGGGGCCGGGGTCAGGGTCAGAGATGTCGTGGTCTTGTCATGCTGTTGTCAAAAACGTCAATTATGTTAGATTAAAGGGACACTCCCACCTTAACATTAGTTTTAAGTTGAGATAGCCAAATTGGTGGCCATGGCCTGCAAATACCGGTTTGGGCACTCACAACATCGAAAAATGTTTTAATTTGAAGATATCAGGGCCTCCTCTAACATACCCACTGGGTGGGCAAATGCCCACCCAGTCACCACAATTGCCCACCCAGTGGCGTCGATTTGCCCACCCAGAAGCAAATGCAAAAATTCTGGTCCGGCCGGACGTCCGGTACTACCTTTCTGGTCTTAAGCAAACTGGATGCTGTTTGAAAGTAAAAAAAAAATCTGGTTGCCCGATATTCAGGGGCGTAGTCAGAATTTCCTCAAGGAGGGGGCCAAACGCACAGGGGCCCAAAATAACCCCCTCAAAATCCAAAAAGCGATCTGGTTGGATCCAATATTTTTTTTTTTGGGGGGGGGGGGCCCAAATAAATAGAAAAATATTTATTAACAAAAAATATTAGAACTGAGGGGGTAAGCAGTCCATGGGCCCTGTTAGATAGGCCCACGAATAGCTTCATAGAGTCGCCAGTCGGTTTTGAGGGCGGTCTGAGGTCGGCCCGGCCCGTAGGTCGGATGAGGGTTCTTCAGACCGTCACAGGCCCCTACAGCGCATGAGAGCCTCGTAAGCCGTCTGAGGGTCATATAAGCCGCCTAAGGGCCACTAAGACCGACAAAAGCCCTCCTTGCACTTGCAGAGGCCCAGTCATGCCGACGGAGGGCTCTCTCAGACAAACTAAGGACCCGTTCAGGGCATTTGAGGGCTTCCTCAAACCGATAGGGGCCCCTCAGATCGACGGTGGATCCGATCCGAGCTCCCTCAAACCGATATAGGGTCAGACCAACAGTCGGAACGCATTGATTCTGTTTACACACCGTTGGACCCAAGTTGGACCCATCCCATCCAACTGACCCCCTGGTTTCAATAGGGCCCCAAGGCTCTAAAATTGGGGCTCTCTTGGCCAAAGTATAACTACTCAGCTGTGTCAAATGATCTGTCGCAGGGGCCTTTGCGTCGCCAAGGGCCCACTGTGTCAGCCAGGAGCCCCTATAGAATAAGGACCCCTGGCTTCCAGGGGGGGCATGGTCCCTTTGGCCCCCTCCTTGGCTATGCCACTGCAGGTGACAAGCGTTCTTCCAGGCGACCAGGGGGCAGGGGCCAGGCGACCAGGCCCCCAGGCGACCAGGGGCCCCCATGCGACTAGCCCCCAAGCGACCGGGCCCTCTAGGCGACCAGGGGCCCCAGGAAACCGGGGGTCATCGGATGAGTGCAGGGGCCCATTGGGTCATCAGAGGGCCACAGAAATGAATCTTCGACATCAATTTTCTTCCGAGTAAAAGACGTTTTATCCAGTGTTTGAAAAAAATATCCCGGGGCCTGAGGGGCTCCCCCATGGCGCGTTTTGCGCTCAAGGGAGGGGGCCATTGCCCCCGTGGTCCCTCCCCCTTGGCTACGCCCCCGCCGATATTGTTATTCATGGACAAAGCCAGCTAAATCTCTAAATACGGCTGAGCTAAACAAATAAGCAAGAATCATTACCGGTTCGGGTAGCCTTTACTACAATGTATTATGTTAGTTAGCTCTCGCCCGGTGAGGGGGGGGGGGGGGTGATGCACCCCCCCTAAGGTTTTTCACAAATAACGTAAAAACGGCGGCGCTCAAATTTGGCATGCCCTCTGGGGCAACCTTTTGGCACTTGTCCTGAAAATTTCAGATCTCTAGTCTTTTCAGGTCAGGTCACCAGGTCACACACCCCGTACAAGGTCAGGGGAAAATTGGACTAGTTTAGCGGCAACCGAAAGCCAGAGTTTTTCGTTGATAGCGTGAGTTCTAACTTCTATAGCACGTAGCGCTACCAAATTTAAGACACGACTTGGAGCATCTGTTTGCCACTTGGCCTTGGAGTTTTAGGTTCCAGTGACCCGAGGCCAGGTCACAAGGTCACAAAAACTGGTACATTGTCAAAATAGCAAGAATACCGAATAAGAATACCTACCACGCAGTTTGCGGAGGGCTGTACATGTAACTCTGGAACGAATCGCTCGAGCATCGCTAACCATAAAACATACGACAAACGTTAACTTTGCAAACTATCATCTTATTTCCAATTACGGCACTGCTTATTTCGCCTCACCCCCGCCCCCCCCGTAACAGGTTTTGATATTGGTTGAACCCCAAAACGGTGGCTGGATTCGCCCTTGGGCAGGGGGTAGCGAAAATTCTGCCCACCCAGTGAAAAATCCTTAGAGGAGGCCCTGGAAGATATGAAATTTCAAACTTGCAGTTTTCGGATTCTAAGGGGCTAATGCATTGGAATGCCCCCTTAGAATTTGTGACGTCAGCGGAGATCTCACGATTTTTAAATCTTAGACTAAAACCATCGTTAACCCTCGCATGTGTAGGGGGGGTCGGATGGACCCCCCCCATGGTTTTTCGCGAATAACTCGCGTAAAAAGCGGCCGATCGCGACGAAACTTTTAGTACCCTCGCATTAATCAATTTTACACCTACCCTGAAAATTTCATGACCCTGACCCAAATGACCTTTGACCTGTGACCTCTTTTCCAAGACCATGTTTGGCCGGAATCGCGATTTCGCGTATGTCGGCTCGCACTAGCCGCGTGTTTGCAAGCTTTTCGTGGTTTCAAACGTTCAAACATGTGATTTGATGTTACTCCCGTGTGTGTCAAGGTCACCCGAAGGTCAGGTCAGGTCATTGACCTTTGGTGACCTCGGGTGACCTCGGTTCACTTTTTCAAGTTTTACATGTTTCTAGGCTAGTTTTTGGAGCTGAATTCGAATTTAGCAACCATTTGAACATCTACGAAGTAGTTTTGGTGACTTCGTAACATGTTACGAAGCTGTCAGAGGCGGTTGACACGTACTACGAATACCCGTCACGACGCCTACTGGTTGACCTGACCTGACCTGACCCGACCTGGTCTAAATGCTTCAAGACATCATCTGTGATCAACACTAACACGATATTCGTGATCAGCACCCCGAAAAACCCCTTAGCAGCCACACTTTACGACTTTCTAACATGTCCCGATTTTCCCGACTTTGGGTCATTGACCTGACCTGGAAGGTCAACCAATGACCTAGGACCTTAAAATTGGGTATCATCGGCTTCCTCTCGTCACGGGCAACACGCTCGTTTTTCCGCGAAGCTCTAGCTCGATCAGGGGCCAAACGGCAAGGGGGGTCCAACCGACCCCCCCCCCCCCCTACACAATAGAAGCTGGCAAACGCCGCACACATGCGAGGGTTAACACGTGGTGGTATACGCTGCTTTGCGCGCAACGTCTGCCGCACTTTAAGGCTGCCAAATTATTGCTTCCAAATAAAGTCGCTAGTAACAGGGCAGATCCCAAAAAGTAAACAAAAGTAAAAGCCTAATATCTTGAAAACCAGTGAATATTTTTCGGTGAAATTTGGTAGATATTCATTTTCGCTCTTTCTGAACCAAGGGACATCACTTTCATGCCAATTCATTAACTTTTTTGAAGGTGGGAGGGTCCCTTTAACTATTAATAGCTATAACCATTAACTATTCAAACAGCTATTGTCAGTTGCAGATCAATTACTGTGCCATCGCGGCAACTGTGTCTTAGTGTGCTGATTTGTTTCACTGTGCCACTGATATGTTTTCCGTGACAGGTAAATGCCGCTGGAAGAATGGGCCTATCCGGCGATATTCTTACCACTGCCCAGATGAACGAATTAGAAGAAGAAATTCTGGAGCTGAAGGTCTATTTTCGTACCCTGTTGACTGAAAATATCGAGCAAGAGGGAGAGTTTACGGTAAACTTTTGGACAATAAATACCACAAATGTTTTCAACTAGGCCATTTTACTTTGTAAATCTACTGACTGTTCGGAATGAATGAATGTAGATACAAGTCACTTCGAAAGTAATGCGAGGTAACGGTAGTGGTTAAGCCTTGCATCTGCATTTTAGGAACTATACATTTGTCAGAATACCATGAAACTTGGAACGTAGCCTAAATGTGACACCATCCTTGCAGGCCAGCTGCAAGCAGCTCATCTTTTCCGTTCTACGTCTGAATCCCTCCGTATTTGAAATCGTCAGTCAGAGTCATGTGTTGAGATTGGTAACACCTCACATTACTTTAGCGGTGACCTGTACCTGCACCCTTTCAATTGATAACATGTTATCATTTGATTGAACTAGCGTTACGTTGGCGAACTATAGCGAGCTGAAATTGCAGCGTCCCTCGCACTTATCATTCTTACACGTCGACAACATGCAATGATTAGAAGTAATTATAGTTCAAGAATAGTTTACATTAGCCGTTTTCACGACGGCCATCTGGTACGCATTTGGTGCACATCTGGTGCAGATTAGGTGCAGATTTGGTCAAATCAGTTATCGGGTTCAGTGTGTCTCTTAGTAGCTATCAGCTAGGGTTGCACTAATTGCTTATATGCCTGCTTTGCCATATTATCAGAGAGCATCATCGATTAAAACACTGAAATAAATTAATAAAATAAAGATATTTGCTGTAAAAGAGATTAGGTGCAGATTTGGTCAAATTAGGTGCACTCGCCGGATAGCCCGCCGTGAAAACGGCTATTATTTCTACATTTCGCTTACTCACTACATGAGAAATTTAACCCGCGCGGGGCTGGGGTCTCCAGCCGAACGCGCGGGGCTGGGGGGGGGGGGTAAATTTTACCCCCCCTGTTATCTCCCGAACTAATGGTCCGATTTGGAAAATTCAAACGCCAATCGAAAGCTCTCATCACGAACTACTAAAAACATGTACTTAATTTAAAGTTTGAGGTCAAGGTCAAGGTCAGGTCAAGGGTACAAATTGCAAGTTTCTACAGTATCGGCCTTGCACCGTAGTTGCCGAAGAATGGAGTCATGGACTGAGACTGATCGCCCAAAACGTGTTCTTAGGCTACCAAGACAATATTAGTTGCATACAATATCATTCAGAGGTCAAGGTCAAGGTCAGGTCAGGTCATGTCAGGTCACCAAAAACAAAATATAGAAAAGGGCATGTGCGACACATGTTTTATGGGTCATTTTACTCATAGAATTCAAAAGGCACACTCAATAAGTGATATGGACCACCTCTGGATGAATTTCAGGTCGAGTTCAGGTCAAGGTCAGGTCAAGTGAGGTCAAATTTTGAAGTTGGTTGTTAAGGCCTAAAAAGGTGTCTATCTGATGCAGTTTTTCACGGCGAATCGAATGGTGCTATTTTTGTTTCCGTACGAGGTCTAGAACTTCCAAAAAAGTCATTTCTCAAAAATTTTGTGTGTCGTGACGTCATAAAATTTTGAATAACTCCCACATTTTAGAACCGATTCTTCTAAAATTTGGTATGTAGGTGCACATAGACCACTTCTCTGACATATATTCCGGTTTTTTCGATAGACTCAAAATTTTGGATTTTATAATGATTTTCCCAAAAAAATCAGTTTTTTGAAAAAATTTAGGCCAAAATCCAAAATTTTCAAAAAACCGAGATAGCCATTTGATAGACAAAGTAAAATTACGTATAACCTTTTTTGTTACGTCTTGATTCCTTTAAAAATGAAGATGTTAGCGGCGTTTGAACTTTTGCCGTTTTTGAGGCGAAAATGGCGAACATGACGTCACTAAAACGTCAATTTCTCAAAAAATTTCCGACGGATTTTGCTCAAATTTTCAGGGAAGGTGTCAAATTGATGTAAGAAAAGGTACTGAAAGTTTGGCGGCGCTGCGCGCCGCCGTTTTTGAGATATCGCAAAAATTCGCGAGGGGGGGTAAAATTTACCCCCCCCCCAGCCCCGCGCGGGTTAATACTAGATAGGAACATTATATAAATGATAATATAGTGTTATTTATCACAAAATTAAGCTGATTTAGATGCGCACTCACGTCAGTACTTTACACGCATTATACGGACGTGGCAGTAGTATATGTACCTGTGTATGGGTACAAAGGTCTGTGTTCTAACCCCTGTCGATGTCTGTTTGCAGGGGGAAGCTCTACTAAGCACGCTTGGAGGAGCGATGTCACTGTATTTGGGAATATCTTTGGTCATGCTGGCGGAATTTCTTCAGTATATCATTCTACTTCTCTGGGCTGTACTACGATATTTTGCTGGGAAATTCAACGGCGACGCTACACGTGGTAAATGACTGTGCATTTCAGCACGCAGCTATCAAAATGTTCGCTGCCAAACCATCAACCGAACAACACTGTGTACAGCACAAGTCTGTCTCTATTACGCAACATCCTCTACAAAGTTCATATCCGCATTCACACCTGCAGCTATTCTAATTCAATACCTATATTAAATTCCTCTTAACCCGCGCCCTGCTGGGGGGGGGGGTGTTTGAACACCCCCCCTTGTGGTTTTTCGCGAATATCTCAAAAACGGCGGCGCGGAGCGCCGCCGTTTTTGGTACACCTTATCATGCATCAATTCTACACATGTTGTGAAAATTTCAGACCAAGGTCATTCAAGGTCAGGTCACCAGGTCACTTGAAGTGACCTCACCTCATAAAAAGTTTCAATGTCTGTCATAGCTACACCGAGTGACCGATCGCTTTGAAACTTTCAGCGATTGGTAAGAGCAATAGCATGTACAAAATGTATATCTTAGAATTTTGATATCGATGACCTAAGGTCAGGTCAATTTTGCGACCTCCCCATTATAAGTCAATGGGAGAAAATTGAAATGCGCCTCTTTTGGACGAAGGACATTATAAACACTCCCAAACACTGAATTACAAGTGGTTTAGACACACTGAACATGAAAATGGTGTCCGTGACCCCTATTTATGCCCTGAGGTCATCTTAGGTCACGAATGGTATCTAACAGTTTTTCGCAAATAACTTTTGATAGAGGCATGCTAGAGCGATGAAAACGCCTTAGATGTGTTCAGCTCGACGATACGGATCGACTGATATGCAACATGACCCTTTCCGGTCAGGTCATGACCTTGACCTGAGGTCAAATTTTCAAGTTGACCTTTCAAGGTCAAATTATAGTTCATTCGATGCGTCTTGACGAGAGGAACACGATGCCGGTAAAAGTAAGCTCGTACAAGGCTTGGGTCAAAAGTTATTGCAGAAAAACTGTTTCCGAAAAAAAATCGGCTATTTTTGCAGTTTTTGCCCCCTGCAGGCAAAACCGTTGACGTTAGGTCAAATCTGAGAGAATTATTCAGAAAGGGCGTTAATAGGGCTATCGAATGCGCTTTTCCGCGGCGCTGTAGCTCTATTGGTTCCCGAGTTATGCGTTGGCTTCTTGGAAATTTTCGACATTCGACCTGGAAATCGGCGAAATTTCGCCTTCAATGACCTCTGGTGACCTGACCTTTGACCTGACCAAAAAATTGACCGAAGTGATTTCGTCATTATTTTTGACGCTCTTTCGAACGCCGCCTTCCGCGTATCGCTACGTGGCCCAGGAGCTGAGTTAGAAGGGGGGGTGTTCAAACACCCCCCCCCCCCCAGCAGGGCGTGGAAATCCAGGACCCCCAGCCGGGCGCGGGTTAACCCTCGCCGGCCGAGGGGGGGGCGGATGCCGCCCCCATAGGGTTTTTCGCGATAGCTCCGAACACGCTGGCGATAGAGAGCTGAAACTTGGCATACCTGACCTTTGATTCAAGCCAGATCTTTTGACACCAACCGCATTTTTGGGTCAGGTCAGGTCACTGACCTATGACGTCATAAGTGAACCTCTGCACGGTCTTCAGATGTCGCAACTTCGCAACGCTCTCACTGCCAGAGGAGATGTCACAGGGAAATGAAACTTGCAGGATCTAGTATCCATTATGAGTCTCACAACTTCCATATCTCGGATTTTTCCTAAAGGTCATATGAGGTCAGGTCATTTTCGTGACCTCACCATTATAAGTCAATGGGGAAAAATGAAAACTGCTATTCTGGCGCCGGGAACGATCTCCAACTATCTCAAGCACACAGAATCGTGTTTTGATGCACTCCTTGCAAGGTTAGATGCGTCACTTTTGCAATGTTGACCTTGCGTGACGTCATTTATGACGTCATCAAGGTCATATTAGTTTTTCGTCAATAACTCTTGATCAAATTGAGCTAGCGAGTCGGGAAAGCCACCAATGGACTCAGGAAGACCTGCCAAATCGAATGATATGCGACATGTCCTCTTTCGACCAAACCAACTTCGTGACCTGGGGATGCTGACCTGACCTTGACCTGAGGTCAACACCCAAAGTTGACCTGACCCGGACAAAAAGTATATCATTCGACGCGCCTGAGCGAGGCAAACACGATGCTGCCAAAATCGCGGCTCTGCGGTTGTTTTTTGCGAAGCTATTCACCAAAAACTGAACCGTACTTTGGGGCACTTGACCTGACCTCAGAGGTCACCGGTTGACCTAGGACCTTAAAATCGGGGGTACCAATCTCTGCGTCTCGTAACGGCGCACACGCTCATTTTTTCCGCGACGCGCTAGCTTCACCAGGGGCGAAACGGCGAGGGGGGGGGGGGTCGTACCCGCCCCTCCCCTCGGCCGGCGCGTATGTATGTAGAAAACCAATAGGTCCAGCGCCCTAGGGTTAACTGAAGAAGATCCAGATGCGTAATATTTTTTTGTGTCTTGGGCTCATTTATAGATGCATGATTTTTTTTTTGTTGTTGTTGTTGTTTGACTGCAACACCCTAAGACTCGGCTGGCTTCCTCCCACAGAGAAGAGCCAGTGGGCTACTCCTCCGCCGAGTGTTGGCGTGACCAAGGTGGTGATCACGCGTCCAGTCGGACTGAAGCACCCGTACCTCAGCGGGGCACCGACAAACGGCGGCAGCGCCGCGCACCGCCGCAGCAACTACTGAACTGTTCTATACAACACACCGCGCGGCGTGCGCCGCCGGCCGCAGCAACTACTGAACGCCAAACGGCGCCCACACACGCTGGGCCAGCCTGCTGGCTTCGTTATTCACGAAAGCCGGCTAGTCTAGCGCGAATTTTCCGTTATTGTTGCTAACTAACGGTTTATTGATAAAGCTAGCACCGTTAATAGCACCATTTCCAAGCAATGTCTTGGAACGGCCATTTGCTGGCCGATTCGGATGCACTGGCAGCGGCCATCAATAAACGAATGACGCACAGCAGTTTGCGTCTTCACAACACGAGTTGGGCGTGCACGTGCAGCCGGGGGCCTAGTCCTATTTGAACAATGGCACTCATAACTAGTTTTTGCAGCAATCGGCCTCACCCATGGGTGAGGCCTTTAGACGCTAGTGCACTAGCGTCTAAAGTCGGTCTTCATGAAGCACCTTATCTTCCTTCATGCAAGTCAAACACGAAAGGTCATTGCCCTCACGATAACACTCGACTTTATCGATAGCGCATGTCACTTGTTACGATCCGACAATAACTTGGCACCGTGCATCGAGTTTGACTTACGCTGCCGCTCGTTCTCTTTGCAAACATGCCGACTACTTTCGACTGTTCTATGTCATCAGTATGTGTCATTGCCCCAAGGGACATTCAGGTCAACAACTTTAACTCGGCAGTTGCCATGGGATATTTCGCCACCCACCACTTTTATGGACCTACATGTGTGTATGTAGGTATAGACTAACACCAGTAAGACGCCTTTTGGGGGCGATTAACGAGCGAGCGAAAGAGTGAGCCTTGCACGTGCGGAAGGGCGAGAGGGTACTTTGGCTTGTGCACGGCACCCCACTAACCGGTCACTAACAGTGTGCCAACTTTAGAGGCAATCGACCCAGCCGTTCTCGAGATCTGGGCCTCGTTTCATAAAGCGAGTCCGTAACTTACGCCGGTTTTTGGTCTTGCATTGCAAGTTCATGTGAAGCGTTAAATTTATTTCCCCTTCTCCCTTCTGTCCTTGCTTGCAAGATGAATAAATTCAACGATTCAAACTATCGTCATCGCTTCACATGCACTTGCAATGCAAGACCAAAAACCGGCGTAAGTTACTGACTCGCTTTATGAACTGAGGTTCAGGAAGCGGCACGCTGCACGTGCGTACGTATAAACTGGGCCCAAAGTGACTTTTGCACGGCACTTTACCAACCGGTTTCCAAACGCTTACCAAATTTGAGCGAAGTCGGCCCAGCCGTTCTCGAGATCTGGAAGCGTCACCTGCACGTGCGCACGTGCAGTAGCAGACTGACCGTAACACATGAGAATGAACACCTGGCGGGTTCCTACCGGCATGTCAAGTTTCAGCGAAATCGCTCCGGTAATTGCCGAGTTATTGTAATGGGAACAAATTTGACACTCCTTCTTTTTGCATTTTGCACGTGCATTAGAAGTGACCCACAGGTATCGGAGTATTCGATGTTTGGAAGACGGGATGCAACTATCCGACACAAATAATTGCAAGTCAATCGCCCCAGTGGTTGCCGAGATATATGGGCCTCTCAAAATTATCCCTTTAGCAGAACAGCTTGAAGGCCGGGCCGGGTCGGGCCGCTCATAGCGATACTTTTTCGTCATATTGAAAAGACTGAAAAGACTCGACAAAAAAGACATGTGAAAAGACTCGCTTTGCGCTCGCTCGTAAAAACAAGCCAACCACATATAGCGTGGCGATTACGGCTTGGGGGAGGGGGTTCCTTGCCCTGGCGGTCATAGGAGAAATCTCTTGATAGTAAAAAAAAACAAAAAAAAAAACAGCGTAACCATGGTGACCGGAACTCTGAAGTGTTGGCGATACGCTGCAGCGTCAATATGATTTGTTGCTCGGCGTCGACTACCGGCAGGTAGACATCGCAACAACAGCGCTGTTCGCGAAAGCCGGCTATCGCAACAACAACAACATAGCTCATTTCCTAAAAATGACGTGACTAAATATGCACCTACAAATGCGGGTAGGTATAATTTGTAATGTCTGAAATATGATGGATGAATTGCCACTAAATGGCTTTAACCCACGAACAGGGAGATCCACACAAAGCAGGATTCACGACACGACAGTTTAGTCCACCGAACCCTCAACCCGGCACATACATATAAGACAAAGTCCAAGAGACTAGGAAGTATCAATGCCTAATCGACTTGTATGTATATACAGGACACATGCGCGGAGAATGGCATCACTGCCTGTTTCCGAGCCACATTTAGTTCAAAGTCGAACATTCGTCTCCGGACTTCAATGGCGCCCTGGTCATGATTCATACTGTTGTGCCTTTGACTTCGCGACGTAGTCGAATCCTGGCGCTGGAACCTGGAATGCGAAATGGTTGTGATGTCAAATGTTTCGTAATGACATAGTTCATCTCGAGGTCATCAGTCATGGTGCTAAACCTATGGAAATATGTAACTAGGTGTGACACAGGGAACATCTAAGAATGTTTTACTATTGCTTTTGTGTCGCTCTACCTCGTTTCATACCACAAGTTACTTAGTTTTTTTCTATGCTTGATGCAAGTGCGCAAGGTTTGAATCAGCTAAGGTAAAGTAGTGCCAGCAGCGTCTATTTTATTGCTCATAACTACAATGGCATAACGCAAGTACAAGGTTACAAAAAGGTGTCACTGTGTTCCCCTTGATCAGCTAAGTAATCAGCATGAAAAACCGAAGCTACTTCGGAACGTTAACATTCATAGGACTTTATGGAAACTTGGAACTGGAAGGTGTGCTTATTAGCCGTTTTATCGACAGTTATCTGGCACACATTGGGTCATATTTGGTGCGATTTCATCCAATAAGGCTCGTTAGTTTTGGCAGTTTTCAGCTTATGGTGCACTGTTTGCTTATACACCCTATTCATCAAACCATGGATGAAGATCAAATCAAATTCAAAGATCAAATTATTAATCATTGTTTTCCATTAAAACTTTGAAATAAATTCATTATGTGGAATGAAAAACACCTCCAACGAAATCACAAAATTATCCGGATATCTATTTTTCACCATATCTGTTAGCAAAGTTTCTTCTCTGATGTTAGAGCGGGAATATTGAATGAATGCTCTGGCTGGAATGCTCAAGCGCATTTGTAACTGTGCTCTTATGAAAGGTGTTATATCATCATTTAAAAGCAATGAAAACTTCAAATTGTCTTGCTTTTTGATTACAGCGTGAATAATGATGTGCGGATAATTTCGTTTTACCCTGTACCTATATGGCCCCGTTTTGAGCTAACGCATCAAAACTTACTCTTGCTTGAGCCTTCAAAGGAATAATACTCCTGTCATTTTTCCTTAGGCGGTCAGTCTCTCTTTTCAATCTATTCTCATATTCTTCCTGCTCCCGTCGAGTCGCTCTATCCACTTCTTGTGACTGTTTAAATTCCAATTCCGCTTCTTTTATTATTGACGCATCCGCTTCCTTCTGTGAATAGAAACACAAAATCACTACAACTTCGCTGAAAACTGCAAAGTGCATCAATTTACATCGTTACATTGCAAAAATAGTGATAAAATATTGCAAAGCGTTAGGTCGGAGTGACAGTTTAGTTGCGGATTATTTGGACGGTAGATAGAAGTCATTGAGCAAAAACATTGTGTTCCACGCGTGTTATGGGAAGTCGCTAGTAGAATGCGGGCTGAAATCCAAGCAGTTACGGAGATGATCATGGGCTAGTTGAAGGTTTCTAGCTGGTGTTGCTACTGGCGGATCGAGGAAACCGCACATCGAACATCCGTAGGAATACACAGTATATCATATACCGCTATAATCAGCCTCAACTAAGCCCCTAGCTTCATGCATTTACCGTGGAAGTTAGGTATTTCCCTCCCCCAACAGGAAAGGAAATGGTGAATTTTTAGCCACTCCATAAATATAGATATAAAATATAAATAATTATAAATCTATAAATATTAATATAAAAAGATCCAAACGGAGAATAGTTACTAAATGTGTTTGTACAATAAAAATTCCATCAAACTATTTTTTGGCATTAAATAGTTAATTTACGACCATATTTGTGCCGCCTCCCATGCCTCCGCTCACCTTCTGCTGCCTCCACTGCCGCCGGCAGCCGGCGCCTCTGCTGGCCGCCCGCTGCCGGAGCCAGTCGAGCTCGGCCGCCAGTCGAGCGTTCCGCTGCTCCCGGGCGAGCGCCTCCCGGCGCGTGCGCTCCGCCTCCTCCCGCAGCCGCTGCTGGCGGTCTCGTCGGTCGGCCGACCAGGCGCGGCGCACGGTGCTGTCGAGCGCAGCGCGGGCCGCCTCCCGCTCCGCCTCCCGCCGCCTGCCCTGTGCCTGTCTGTGGCCGGCGGCGGCGGCGGCGCCCGTCCGCTCGGCGGCCCGCTCCTGGTCGCCGGCGGCGGCGGTCAGCTCGGCCAGCCGGGCGCAGGCCGCGTCGGACCGCTGTCGACTCCGACGCAGCGTGTCGGCGTGTCGCTGCAGCTCGGCCTCGGCCAGTCTCAGACGGTACAGGCCGAACGCCCGACGCTCCTCCTGCGTCACGGCCGGGGTGTAACTGCTTGTGTTCTGGCATAATTAATAATTGTGCATAGGTAAAGGGTACAACAGTGAGACAGACAGTGTGACAGGAGGAATTCTGACGACTAGATTATTTGCTAAGCAACCACGTTATGCACAAGCTTCTTCTGAATTCCTGAGACTGCATAAATTCGCGCCCCACTGGGGGCCGAGGGGGGGGGGGGCTATTCATAGCACCCCTCTCGTTTTTCTGCAATAACTTCTTAACCGCTAGAGGTATTGACGCGAAACTTTCAGTACCTTCGGCTGCATCAATTTGACGCCTTGTGTCAAATAGGAACTTCGTAGCTACTATAGGTCGGCCGGAAATGACGTCAGAGCGACGTCATGTTCCGCCCATTTCGACGCAATACATTGAACTACGGCAATCACTCTAAAAAGCTTAGTTTCTAGCCTAGATATAATTTCTTTGCATGTGAGTTCTCAGAATGCACTGCGCTATCAAACTGTTATCTTAGAGTATCAATGGTTGAGAAAATTCAAAGAATTATATAGATTGAATTTCAAAACTTAGGTGCCTACCTGTATACTTTTAAAGTTAAACTTTTTTGTAAAAACCAGAATACCTATGTGTGATAAAACACATGCCCATGATATACTCTATAGCACGTTTTAGGCGGATATCTTTAACGTCACAGGTCAGGTCAAAGAAGAAATTATTAACATTTTGGCTTGTTCACAATTTAGGCTCTGGCAGCCGGCTTACAAGTCCGATCAAGCTCTTTTTGGTTTACGCACTCTTTGATATATGCCTTAGATACCCTGAAGGTACCAAACTTGTACTCCGATTTTTTTTTAGGTCAAGGTCAGGTCATCCTAGGTCATTCTAGGTCAAGGTCAACATCACGAACATCATATTTGCGGATAAACGGACGGGGATCCGCGGATGAACAAGACTCTTCACGATAACCGAAAACTCACTGAAGAGTTGACGAGATCTGCGAACCACCCGGGGAATCCGCGGAGCAACGATTTATTCCAGTGAGTTCGTGAATTTCCTATGCGCTTCATGAAGCTAACTTATTTGCGACCAACAGCATGTCACATGTTTGAACGCTTGAAACCACGGAAAGCTTGTAAACGCCCGGCTAATGCGAGCCGACATACTCCGAATCACGATTCCGGCCAAACATGGTCTCGGAAAGTAAGTCACAGGTCAAAGGTCACTTGAGTTGAAGACATGAAACTTTCAGGATAGTTGCAACATTGATTAACCCTATTCCTGGCGGGCTCCGCCGGGACAAGAAACTGGCGGGGGGGGGGGCGATTCGGCCCCCCCCTGAGATCTCGAGAACGAAGCAAGATAGCGACAAGCGGTAAACGGCATCGGATACGCATGGACAAGGTCTACAATTTTTACTAAGGTCATTTTCAGGTCAGGTCAAAGATGACGTCACAGGGGTCGAAAAAGTCAAAATGGCGGCGCTAGATATGGAGAGAGTTTTTCTCGAATAACTTTCGAATTAGTCAAGATAGGAGAACTAACTAAGGGCATCATCGTGATCCTCTCGTCAATCCGCATCGAATGATATATATGTTGACCTCGAAAGGTCAAGGTCAAAGGTTGACCTCAGGTCACGTGACCTCGAGGTCATCATGTATATCATTCGATGCGTCTTGACGAGCTGAACACAATGAGACCATCCACGCGTCTGTATCTTATTCCTGTACGGAGTTATTGGCCAAAAACTTTGGTGACCTTTGATGACGTCACATGACCTCACAGCTGCCCAACAGCAAAACAGACCTCAAGGTAGTGAAGGTTGATCGTATATGAAGTCATGTATGGTATATGGGGCCATTCCGACCCGTTTTAGTGGTAAAAACAGGGAGTTGATTTTTCCCCCATTGACTTATAATGGGGAGGTCGCGAAACTGACCTGACCTTAGGTCACCGATATCAAAATTCCGAGATATACAAATTGCACATACTGGTACCCTAACTAAAGCCTGAAGAGAAGAAATTGATCGGTCAAAAACTCTAGCTCTGGCGTGATTGCAAACTTTTCTGAGGTAGGGTCACCAAACCGCCTCTGGTGACCTGACCTGAGGTCAGATCAACTCAAAATTTTCAGACATGTTGCGTAGAAGCCTTTTAGGAAAAGTCAGAAAATTTGAGCTTCCTAGCTCAACGCGTTTGGGAGAAATAACCAAAAAACCTCAGGGGGGGGGGGCTCCTGAGGCCCCCCCCGCCAGGAATAGGGTTAAAGCGAGGGTAAAGTTTCGACGCGATCAGCTGCCTTTTACGCGAGTTATTCGTAAAAAAAACGATGGGAGGGTCCGTTCGAATGACCTGAACTGACCTTCAGGTGACCTTAACACCCACCCTAATACATGGGGCCAACATCATGTCACATACCTATTTGAACACTCGAAACCACTGAGTCTGTTCGAAACCCCCTCCCTATACGGAGTAGGGTTAATTATACGCTTTTCCATAGATAACATTAATCATGTTGAATAATGGCTCATGGTATCATGATTCAATCATGAATCATTAATGTTATCTATGACTTTTAATGTTACATCGTTTGCTATCTTCAAAGCTGTAAGTGTGGCAGCTCTTCCGGCAACACTCCTTTTTTGTCGAAAAGGACAGAGCGTGAAATTGTTCTGATATCATTTTTGGCCTACCTATCATAACCACTGTAATTTGCTTAGTCACAAGGTGTAAAACCGATGTACGGAGAGGTCAAGAAAGTTTGGTGACGAATCTACAATACTAAAAGAGGTATCGAGTCGACAGAAGAGGATGGCGGGGTCCCCTCCCCTGTGAGGCGCGGGTTAAAACGGTAATTGGAAGTCTGAGAAAGACATCGCAAACGGCACCTATAAGATCAGAGATAGAAGTCAACAAGCATCATGAAGCACAGTAAGCACAGTAAAAATTTTGATGACGATGCCACAAAAAGTAGGGGAAGTTCATCAATTTGGTAATTCACGCAATACGAATCCTTGTATGCGATCGGATTATTGATTTACCGGTGTGTACCTATGTGAGACATGAGCACAGTACATAGCTATGATAGTTAAGCAAATAATCGAAGCAAGCCTAAGCTGCTCATTTAAAAGCTATATCGCTTTTGGCGAGTGTGATGGCATAAGACCGAGATCGGGTCGAGGCCGGGCGGAGGATCGTCCTGGCCACCCGTGGTCACACTCACCTCCAGCTGTCGCTCCTCGCAGCGCCGCTTCTCTTCAAGGGCGCGCCGCTCCTCGACCTGCTCCCGAGTCAGCTCCTTCCACTTCTTGTTCTGGCCGTATTCCTGCGGGGTTTCGTGTGGCCAGCTCATCAGTCAGGTATGCACGCGGTAGATGTAGACACTTGGTTGTACTTGGTTGTAAGGGTGTTGAGGTTGTACCGTATTTTCAGAGAACGACCAGCCTAACACTGACCAGTTAGTTAGTTTGTGCGGCCCCTCTCACTGACCTGGAGCTTATTGAGTTGTTGCTGACGTTCGTAAAGCACACTGTTCTGTCTTGCCTGCTCGGCTTCCTTCAACTCGAGCCTCTTTTCCTCTTCCCTTCGACGAAGATAATCAGCCACCCTGCCAGCGTACACACTACACAGTTTCTTTTTTAACGGAAATTAAATATACAGTGACGGAAGCAGAAATTTAGCGATGATTAAGTGCCACATGACCCAGACTCCAGAGGCCACGTTTTTAAAGAACATCCGATACGATTGGCTGCGTTATATTTAATGTTCATCACTTGCAGAGTTTGAGCAAGAGGTCTACTTTTAAACCCATTTTACTGGCAATGTGAAGTTTTTTTTTTCTCCCAGATCAATGAACAGAAATTGGATTATCCAAAAATTATTACAGGCTTATTTGCCGGTACAATATCTTTCTAGCGTAATTAGCTTAAAAATGTATGTAATGCTCCCTTGATGACAACAACATGAATAATTTGGCGTGATAGGATTTAGTTTTTGTTTAA